CACACACACACACACACAATGCAATAGACCTTTTGCAATCAACTGTCACGGGAATTTATGTTTTCAATTTATGTTTTATGTAGTTCAAAGTGCTGGCAAATTTTCCTCCGATGTTAAGTGGTTTTTGGTCTCTCCGCTATATATAGCATAGTTTTATATGTCTTTAGCAACTTTGCCAACCATGGGCTGAAACCAGTTCTTCTTACGTGACTTTTAGCTACAAAAGGCCAATGTTCAGATATGAGAAATATCACACATTACAACTACTTATCATATCCTTGTCTTGACAAAAACTAGTCGTAACTACTGATYTATCCCGAGTGTTTTAGTGAGTACTATTTATCAATATATAGTAAAAACACTTGCAAGGATACTTGCATTCGAATTCTAGAGAAAAGCCTTTATGAAGACTAGTACAGACAGAAGGGCGGGCAAGGGATTTACATTCATTGCTCCACTCACAGGATCCGAGCATTTTGTGTTCCCGAGGGCTTCCATCGCCTTTGTGTAATGATYACCAAGCCATTTCTCGTAGGTTGTCTTATCATTGACGTCTACTAGTTTCTTGGTGGAATCTTTAAAAAGGAGAATACTTCCACCATACATCTTAGAGTTGAATATCGAAAAGCCAGTGCAGTTGCTGGTTGGTTTGTTTGGCTGACAGAACGTCGAAGCTGTTTCCAATACCTTAACGAATTCTGCATTTTCACCAGCCCTTCCAACGACAGCGTGAGACGGATTGGCACCAAAGTTACAAGACTCATGAGACTCATTTGTTACCACTGCAATGATAATGGTATTTTGTTTTTAKTTTACAAATATCGTAGCCGAGACAGATAGATAATAATTATATGCTTCAACAGTAGCTACCTTTARATGTTCCATCCGTGCATAAGTACTTGTAATCAGACATGTTGCCATACTTTCCATCATCATCTTTCAACACTGCTCCCGTGGTCAGGTGTTTTAMAAAGGCAACATCACCTTTATTATCTGCCATGCATTTAAAGGCACCATTATAGCCACTGTATGCATTCAACACTTACTTCCCTCTGGACAAAGCTTACAAAGGTTGTCATACCCCGCAGGAACCCCTGCAAAGGAATGGAAGAAGATAATGCATATTGCTATTAGTCACCTTTGACTTATTTTAAATATTTCTAGACAAATCAAAAGGGAATTAATTATCAATTAATCTCGGTCTATCATTGAATCATGATTCCTCTAAGGTATTGATCCGCTATGGTAATGAGAGTCATTGCGTGTTTTTAGCGGAAAAATAACCATGGCTTTTG